GAGGAGGAAAAGCTGTTCTACCTCCAGCAGTTTACTGAAGGTCGGCCGAGGGAGTTGGTCCGTGGTTGTCTTCACATGCCGCCCAGCAAGGCCTATCAAGAGGCGAGAAGACTGTTGCACAAGAAGTATGGAAACGAGGACAAAATCAGTGCAGCCCACGTAGAAAAGCTTTTGTCGTGGCCAAACATAAAACAAGACAACCTGGAAAGCCTTGAGAACTTCTCTGTCGCGCTAATGGTATGTGAGAGCGTGATGTCAGACATGCCCGCCGGCATGCGGGAAACGGACCACCCGCGAACTCTTCGCAAGCTGGTTGAGAAGCTGCCCTTCCCGATGCACGACCGTTGGAGGAGACTGGCCGACTCAGTCATGGAAAACCAGCATCGGCGAGTGGCGTTCTCAGACCTGGTGGCGTTTGTTGATAAGGAGACCAGGGTGGCAACAAACTCACTCTTCGGACGACAAGTGATGAACACATCGAAGATGATTCCAAAGGAAATCAAGATGACTCCAAAGGATACTCAGCGTCAGAAGCCGAAGTACGGACTAGCGACTGCTGTACAAGTTCCCGCTGGCTGCGCTTTCTGCAAGGAAGGACACTCTTTGGAAGACTGTGAAGCACTCAAGCAGAAGGACCTGAATTCCCGAAGAAACTTCATCAAAGAAAATAGGCTATGCTTCGGATGCCTGAAGAAAGGACATGTCGCGAAGAAATGTCAGCAAAGAAGTACCTGTAAGGTCTGTGGTGGAAGACACGTCACGTTGCTGCACGAGGAAAGAAGCCAGAAAGATCCTCAGCACCGACAGACTCCTGAAAAACCTCAGGAAGCGCCATCTGTGAAGACGTGCCGAGTACAGCACTCCAAATGGAACACAGGCTTGGCAGTCGTACCTGTGATAGTCAAGTCAGGAAAGAAGTCAGTAACTACACATGCTCTTCTAGACAGTGGCAGCACTGCGTCCTTCTGCCAGGAATCTCTGCTGCAGAAGCTGGGACTCGAGAACAAGAGTAAGAAGAAGCTGTCCCTGACAACAGTTTGCAAGGATCAAGTCGAGATTGAGAGTCAGATCATCACTGGGCTCGAAGTAGGTGACATCGATGGACAGCATACCCTCCAGCTGCCAGCAGTCTACAGCCTAGAGAAGGTACCGGTCGATGTGAACGACATACCAAGACAAGAAGATGTCAGCCGTTGGTCGTACCTGAGAGGTGTGAATCTGTCGAGCTTGGATGCACCAGTCGAATTGATGATAGGCAACAATGTCCCACTGGCGATGGAGCCGTGGGAGGTGATCCATAGCCAGGGAGGAGGGCCTTTTGCCACCAGGACACTCTTGGGATGGGCTATCAACGGTCCTGTTCGACATGAAGGAAGAGGTCTGGTGAAGGCAAACCGAATCAAAGTAGAAAACGTTGAAGACATCGAGGACATGATGATCCAGATGTACAACGCAGAGTTTACTGAGAAACTCTCAGACAGCTCGAAAGGACCTTCGATTGAAGACAAGATGTGGCAGAAGAAGGTAGAGGAAACCATCACGTTCACGGAAGGACACTACGAGATAGGTCTTCCTCTGCGAGACAAGGACACTCAGATGCCAAACAACAGGAACATGGCGCTGCGGCGACTCTCCACCATCCAGAAGAAGATGGAGAAGCAGCCGAAGTTCAGAGAGGACTACACTACTTTCATGAACAACGTGCTAGAAGAGGGCTACGCCGAGGAGGTGCCCGAGGAGAGCCGGGGAAGAGCGGATGGGCTGGTATGGTACATGCCCCACCATGGAATCTACCACCCTCACAAACCTAACAAGATTAGGGTTGTGTTTGGTTGTGCGGCTAAGTCTGACGGTGTGTCGTTGAACGACAAGCTTTTGCAAGGCCCAGATCTGGCAAACTCCTTAGTTGGAGTCCTACTACGCTTCCGCGAAGAACCAGTAGCCTTCATGGCAGATGTGAAGTCCATGTTCTACCAAGTAAAGGTCCCAGAGTCTGAAAGAGATCTGTTGAGGTTTCTATGGTGGCCTGGGGGCGAGATCAACGAGGAACCAAAGGAGTTCCGCATGACCGTCCACATATTTGGAGCTGTCTCATCCCCAAGCTGTTCCAACTTCGCGCTAAGACGGACTGTCGAAGACCACCATGATGACTTCAGTGAAAAGGCACTGGAGACTGTCAAGAAGGCGTTCTACGTGGACGACTGTCTCCAGTCGGTGTCGTCAATCGAGACGGCGAAGTCGCTGGCGTCAGAGGTACAGGCTCTGTGCGCCAAAGGAGGTTTTCATCTGCACAAGTATGTGTCCAACAGGGAAGGAGTTCTCGACAAGATACCGAAAGAAGATCGAGACGAAGGTTCTTCTAAGAAAGGACTTCACTTGGAAGAAGCGACAAGCGTCAAGAAAGCACTGGGTATCAAATGGAACCTGGAGCAGGATACCTTCAGCTTCTGTGTCAGGGCAAGAGAGATGAAAGTGACCAGAAGAGAGATTCTTTCTGTCATCAGTGGAGTGTTTGACCCTTTGGGCTTTGTGGGGCCATTCATTCTTACTGGTAAGAAGATCCTACAGGAGCTGTGCGCCATGAAACTTGGTTGGGATGAAGATGTCCCGGAAAGTCAAGCTCTGATCTGGACCAAGTGGCTAAAGGACCTGCCGAAGCTGGAAGCGTTGGAAGTGGCAAGGTGTCTGAAGCCAGCGAGGTTGGGATCGATCGTCTCAAGACAGCTACATCACTTCAGTGACGCGAGCACAGTGGGTTATGGTGTAGTGTCATACCTGCGTCAGACGGATGACAAAGGGCAGGTACACTGTATGATCCTCATGGCGAAGTCGAGGGTCGCGCCGCTCAAGAAGATGACCGTACCTCGAATGGAGCTGGCTGCCGCAACAGTTGCAGTGCGACTACATGCGATGATCACAAAGGAACTTGAGATCCCTATAGACGATGCTACCTTTTGGACGGATAGTTCGACAGTGTTACGGTACATCAACAACGAGGGGACAAGATACCAGACGTATGTCACGAACCGGTTGGCGGTTATCAGGGACGGATCTGCACCAGCGCAATGGAGATTCGTTAAGTCGGAAGATAACCCAGCGGACGATGCCTCGAGAGGGCTTATGGCGGATGATCTTCTAGAGAACAACAGGTGGTTCCATGGTCCAGCTTTTCTGGGGAAAGAAGAGTCTGAGTGGCCTCGTCCGCCTGAAGGACTTGAAGACACACAAGAAGCTACAAGAGATGCTGATGTGATTCGGCCTGCTGTGGTTGGCTCGGTCTGCTTTGCTGAGGACGCACAGCCTAATCCGACAGATCGGCTTCTGTACCACTATTCAGACTGGCTCAGACTCACAAAGGCAGTGGCATGGTTGCTGCGCTTCAAGAAGTACCTGATGGCGAAGAGAATGACGGCAGGAGCAGCAAGGAAAGGACCGGTCACTCGATCCCAGGCTCGGGATAGGGAAAGGTCTGCTTGTCGGTTGTCAGTGGCCGAACTTGAAGAAGCGGAAAAAGCCATTCTCCGGCGAGTGCAGGAGAGTGCGTTCGCATCGGAACTACAAGCGCTGAAGCCTCAGTGTTCTGATGGAGAGACCAGGCAAGATCCAGTGGACCGGGCGGTGAAGAGAAGAAGTCCTCTGCGGCAGTTGGATCCCATGCTAGAGGACGGACTATTGAGAGTCGGTGGCCGTTTAGCCATGGCCCCACTGGATTCCAAAGCAAGAAATCCAGTCATACTGCCCGCACGCCACCCTGTCTCAGAGTTGATTGTACGGCATGTTCACCAACAGGTGGGCCATCAAGGAAGAGAACATACATTGGCGGCGCTACGTGAAACTTACTGGCTGATTCACGGCAACTCGGAAGTGCGCCGGGTCCTGAGGCAATGCAAGCATTGCATAAGACGGCAAGCACGACCAGAAGAACAGAAGATGGCAGATCTGCCCCCAGAGAGGGTAACTCCAGATCAGCCGGTTTTCAGCAGTGTCGGTGTTGATCTGTTCGGTCCGTTTGTGACGAAGAGGGGCAGAGCCTCGGTCAAACGGTACGGGGTAATTTTTACTTGCCTAGCCACTCGAGCCATCCATATTGAGTTGGCGGACTCAATGTCAACGGACTCTTTTATTAATGCGTTACGACGATTCACAGCGAGGCGAGGGCCAGTCCGGATGGTCAGGTGTGACAACGGGACAAATTTTGTCGGAGCCGAAAAGGAGCTTCGCAAGGAACTTGAGCACCTAGAACAAGATCGCGTTCACAAGAAATTGCTTGAAAGCAAGATTGACTGGATTTTTAACCCCCCAGGAGCCTCCCATTTCGGTGGGGTTTGGGAGAGGCACATTCGGAGCATCAGGAAGATACTCAATTCCCTCCTGACCAGCCACACCCTTGACGACGACGGCCTCACCACTCTCCTGTGTGAGATCGAGAGTATCTTGAACAGTAGACCACTGACGACGGTGTCAGCAGACCCGAGAGATTGTGAGCCGCTTACACCGAACCACTTGCTGCTTTTTCGCGGAGGTCATGTCACGCCTGGAGTCTTCTCCGAATTTGACCTGCATGGTAAGAGATGGCGCAAAATGCAGTATCTCGCGGACTGTTTCTGGACGAGGTGGAGGCGGGAGTACTTGCCGCTCCTCCAAAGGAAGCAGAAGTGGAACAGTGTCCGGAAAAACCTGGAACCAGGAGATGTGGTCCTGATGATGGACGAGACACTCCCGAGAGGCCAGTGGCCACTTGGAAAAGTTGCTGAAGTAACGAAGGACCAGAAAGGTCTCGTGAGGCAAGTAGTGGTGAGAAGAGGAACTTCAACGTTCCGTCGACCAGTGTCGAAGCTGGTGAAGCTCGTGAGCGGCGAGGACTGAGCACTACATGACTGGGGAAGACGAAGTTCATTTTTATTTAAGAGTGCAGTGTTGAATCGGAGATGATTCAAGGAGGAGGGTGTAAACGCCGGAAGCGTTTATTGTCTCCATTTGGTTTTGGTTTATACTCTCCTGTCCTTTCCTGTCCCATTGTGAGCCCATCGGCCCGTCTTGTTGAGCGAGCTGTAGGAAACGGAGAGCCAGTAGAGGGCTCTGCTGTCTGGTTGCAGCCAGAGGTAGGGGGCAGCACGGAGCACGGGTTGAGACGCTGATTGGTACTTTGGTACTTGCAGGGCATTAAAGAGTTGGTACTTGTGTAATGTGGAATGTGAATGTGGAATTGTGTCGTGTCGAATGGTTAGCCAAATACTCATGTTAAAATGCGTTAAATTTGTGATTCGCGTGATATCTCATGTGATGCATAGGAGCCTTTTGCATTCAGAGAAAGACCTATTATAATGGACACGGTACTTAGTGTGGTACTGGAAATAGTGCTGGTACTCATACGCCAACACGTCAGATTTGGTAACCGCCCATTTCATGCCGCATTTTGGTTCTTGGAAAGCGTTTGAAGTATAAGAAGGCGATAGCGTTCAGGCGTGAAGAATATGTCTGCAGGTGGATAATGTTGGTGAGTGTTATCGTCTCTAGCAATAAAGAGACGCTTAATTGTTATCAATATTAGTATTCATTGCGCTGCATTGTTGCAAACTGGATCTGAGAAATGCGCCGATTTGTGTCCATTTTTGCGTATGTGTTTATTCGCGAATATTCTGCAGGATTGCAGTGCAGCACTGAATAAGTTTGTCTGTTATAAGGCCAGAAACATTCTCTCAGTGTTCAGGCCATTTAACCCTCGCCGGCCGAGGGGGGGGCGGGTGCCGCCCCCCCCCCCCCCATAGGGTTTTTTCGCGATAGCTCCGAACACGCTGGCGATAGAGAGCTGAAACTTGGCATACCTGACCTTTGATCCAAGCCGCATCTTTTGACACCAACCGCATTTTTGGGTCAGGTCAGGTCACTGACCTATGACGTCATAAGTGAACCTCTGCACGGTCTTCAGATGTCGCAACTTCGCAACGCCCTCACTGCCAGAGGAGATGTCACAGGGAAATGAAACTTGCAGGATCTAGTATCCATTATGAGTCTCACAACTTGTATATCTCGGATTTTTCCTAAAGGTCATATGAGGTCAGGTCATTTTCGTGACCTCACCATTATAAGTCAATGGGGAAAAACTCAAACTGCTATTCTGGCGCCGGGAGCGATCTCCAACTATCTCAAGCACACAGAATCGTGATTTGATGCACTCCTTGCAAGGTTACATGCGTCACTTTTGCAATGTTGACCTTCCGTGACGTCATTTATGACGTCATCAAGGTCATATTAGTTTTTCGTCAATAACTCCCGATCAAATTGAGCTAGCGAGTTGGGAAAGCCACCAATGGACTCAGGAAGACCTGCCGAATCGAATGATATGCGACATGACCTCTTTCGACCAACTTCGTGACCTGGGGGTGCTGACCTGACCTTGACCTGAGGTCAACACCCTAAGTTGACCTGACCCGAACAAAAAGTATATCATTCGACGCGCCTGAGCAAGGCGAACATGATGCTGCCAAAATCGCGGCTCTGCGGCCGTTTTTTGCGAAGTTATTCACCAAAAACTGAACCGTACCTTGGGGCACTTGACCTGACCTCAGAGGTCACCGGTTGACCTAGGACCTTAAAATCGGGTACCAATCTCTGCGTCTCGTAATGGCGCACACGCTCATTTTTTCCGCGACGCGCTAGCTCCACCAGGGGCGAAACGGCGAGGGGGGGGTCGTACCCGCCCCCCCCCCCCTCGGCCGGCGCGTATGTAGAAAACCAATAGGTCCGGCGAGGGTTAAGGCTATTTGATTGCAGTGGGAGAGCGACACCCGTACGACCTTGACCTTGGCCGCGCCATATTCGTCTTGAGTTCTGTGTTTGGCCCCCCATTGCCCTGTTTGTCTTTCGTTTCTGCTTTATTAATTTTGATGTATCCTTTCAGAAACCTTGCTTACTTGCTTACTTTGGCCTGCTTGGATGCTTGTGAAGCTGGAGTCACAATACAGAGGCCAACTATCAAGTTGCACGAGTTTTGCACCACCAGACTGCCGAGTTTTGGAGACGCCTGGAGGCTACAGATAGCGTCCAATATGTAGATAAACTGAAGGAACTGTTAGCGGACATTGAAACGTACGGGGAAAAAGCCAAAGGGTTTTCCAAAAAACAAGGCCAAAACTTCAATAAGAAAGCCCGAAAGATTCTTCGAAAGACTGAAAAAGGTAAGACTTTCACTCATCTGTTAGAGGAGGCTCCAAGAGCTCCACGCCTAAGAGGTCTTCCAAAAGTGCATAAATTGGGGATACCGATGCGCCCCATAATATCGGGAATTGATAGCGCACCTCACCGACTGGCTAAGGTGCTGGCGAAGCCCCTCTCCAGGGCTCTGGGTTCTATAAGCGCGTCTCACATAAAAAACACGTCCGAAATGATCGACCAGTTGAAAAACATTGACATGTCAGGAAAGAAACTAGCCAGTTTTGATGTAAAATCCCTTTTCACGAATGTGCCTGTAGAAGGAGCTTTAGAGGCGATCGCCAAAGCCGTTAATAATACAGATGAAAGATCTCTTCCTCTTCCAAAAGCGCAGTATATGGAACTAGTGACACTTTGCATGCAGTTTAACACGTTTACTTTCGGTGACACTCAGTGGCGTATCCAGGATCTTGGAAAGGGGGATGCCAAACCTGCTCGAGGGGCCCCATCCTTACCTTAGGGGCCCCAGTAGTATAGCGTACTTAACTCACGCCCAGGTGCGGTTCTTTGCCACTTTTGCCATGTGAGGCCATGGTAAACATGTGCCATGTTTTTAGGCACACTCGGCAATCTAATAAAAAAAAAAAAATGTTGAAACGTGAAAAAGGCATCGATATCGATAGCTCTGTAGCGTACAATTTATTTCAGCAGTAGGCATAGTTTTTTTTTTTGCTTTGGTCGTCGCTAGAGTCACTAAAGATCATCAAAAGCAAAATGTCTTTGCCAGTTTTTTTTTTTTAAAGATTGTAACATTTTTCAAAGGGCAGATGTCAGTCTCTTAGTGTCTTGCGCTGGTTGAGGGCTGGTACCCTTAACTTTAGAAGGGCCCGACTCGGTTTGAGCTCTGATCTAGACTCTGATGGCTCTATGTCGCCCACATTGGCCTCACTCCGACCTCTGATTTCTGAAGGCTCATTCTGGCCTCTGAAAGCCCCACACCGGCAACAGAGTGAACCACGCTGGCCTCCGGGCCCCATAATGGCCTCAGGAGACCCATGCTATGGCTGACCTCACAGGGCCCCCCGCTGGCTCTGCCGAGGCCCTCGAGGTGGTCTCTAATGGCCCGACGCCAGCCTATGAAGGCCCGCGCTGGCTTCTGAGGGCCAAGCACCAGCCTCTCAAGTCTGGAGTCAGATGATACCCAGTAAACATGCCGACGTCGGCCCGACGTCGGTCCAACCTCGGCACGACGTCGGCTGGATGTCTGATATGCCCGCATGTACCGACGTCCAGCCGAGGTCCAGCCGACGTCGGGCCGACGTCGGACCGAGATCAATTGCTGAGGTCCAGCCGACGTCGGGCCGACGTCGGGGCGACGTCGGACCGACATCGGCCGCTGTTTTGACCGTTAAAATAATATAAAATACATGTTTCATGTTTCATTAAGAGCTTCTGTATTCAAAATATTCTCAGGAAACTCAAATCTTCCTCCACGCCGCAACCCCCTGATCCGTACTGGACGGAAAACTTTATCCCATTTGAGATTGCCCGTAAGCCGAGCTCGCCCGTAGCCGGGTGCGGTGAGTGCTTGGGGGCTTCTCGGCCTATCCTTTGGTCAGTATCAGCCCCGGCAACTCACCAGGGCCGGGCCCAGTTCATATAGAAAGGCCAGTCGGCAAATGTCACTTTGCCAAAGTGCCACTTATCAAAGGGACACTTGGGAAACGTTGGTGCAGGTGTGTAAGAGTGGCTATATGAATCCATTGTGGGGTCGCCCTTTCCAATAAGTGTCACGTAATAGCAATGGGACCAGGGACTCTATATGAACTGGACCCAGGGTGCTCGCCAAGAAGACCAATGTCTCCATCCTATCATCCTTCCGGCTCTGAAATGGTCTTGTCAGACCGAAAGGGCATAACCCAACAAAACAAACTAAATTCGTTAACTGGCTGCTTGGTGTAGTGGTTTGCGCACTAGCCTCGCGTTCAAATGACACGGGGTTCGAATCCCATCGCCAGCTGATGCTTTTGGCGTGTTGTCCCAGTAAACATGCCGACGTCGGCGACTGGGGGGCTCGAATCCCGCCGCCGGTTGATATTTTTGGCGCGTTGTCCCAATAAACATGCCGACGTCGCCCGTCGGCCCCGTCGGTCCAACGACAAACGATCTCGTCAGCCTCGGCAAACGACCTCGGCCCGACGTCGGCTCGACGTCGGCTAGACTTCGGCTGGACGTCGGAACATGCGGGCATATCCGACGTCCAGCCGATGTCGGGCCGAGGTTGAACCGACGTTGGGCCGACGTCGGGCCGAGCCTCGGCCCGACGTCGGGCCGACGTCGGCATGTTTACTGGGTAGATGGCCCCACGCTGGCTTCAGAGGGTTCACGCTGGTCACAGAGGGCCCCACACTTGCCTAAAAGGGCTCCACATTGTCTTCAGAGGGCCCCAAGCTGGTCTCCGTGGCCAATGGACCTCAATCTGACCTAAGAAGGTCCCATGTCTCTGGGCTTAAAAGACCCAATGCTGGACATCGACGGCCCCACGCTGGACATAGAGGGTCCAACACTGGCCTAAGAAGGTCCCACAATGGCCTTAGAGGGTCCCACGCTGGCCTTACAGGGCTGAGCGCTGGCTCCTTAGGGCTCTACGCCAGCGTCAAAGGGTCCCACGCTCAAGTCTAAGCTTTTTTATGGCCGCCAAAGCGACCTCTGAGGGCTCCACGCTAGCCTCTGGGGGCTCAGCCTTGGCCTCTAAGGGCCCTACGCTGGCCTATGAGGGCCATCAAATGGCATTTTAAGATAGTTTGACGCAGTTTGACCCTGAAAGTTACTGGTGGCCCTTCATAGGCCGGCAAGGGACCCTCAGAGGCCGGGAGGCCCTCAGAGTCGCTGGTAAGTGGTCGTCAGATGCGCTGGCCTAGGGCCCTCGGAGGCGCCAGAGGCGCCTCAGAGCCACCGAAGTAGGCCCTTAAGAGGCACTGGTGTGGGACCCTTAGAGGTGGCAGTGAAGGCCATCAGAAACTGGTGTGGACCGTGGGGCCATTGTCGCCGACAAACTGTCGCTCGGAGTTCTTTTCTGGTTGGATGTGGACTGTATTTTATTCGGTGAGTTTGTGCGACATTCGTAGCCCGCCCGCCTGCTATGTGAGCTCCTGGGTTTTTGATATTCGGCGATTTTCAGTAGTAGATAGACGTGAAGATTTCCCGTAGAGGATTTATTGAAGTATACGCGAAGCAAGAAGCGGAAGCAGTTGTGAAGAAAACCGGTAGATGAAACACGCAGACACGGAGCACAATTCACATTCGCTGTACAATCTGAAGCACTGACACTGCCCCGCCGGGCGCGGCTGCGCGCAGGAGAGTCGGTCTGCGCGCGTGCTTCTGTACTCTGTCCCCGCTCAGCCGGGCGAGGCGTCGAGCGGGGCAGATCAGTCCGTGCGCACAGCGCGACGGTCGAAGTGAGACTCTGCCGGGGTCGTACGTGACCCACATTTTATACGCAATGCTTAACCCTCGCCGGCCGAGGGGGGGGGGGGCGGGTGCCGCCCCCCCATAGGGTTTTTTCGCGATAGCTCCGAACACGCTGGCGATAGAGAGCTGAAACTTGGCATACCTGACCTTTGATCCAAGCCGCATCTTTTGACACCAACCGCATTTTTGGGTCAGGTCAGGTCACTGACCTATGACGTCATAAGTGAACCTCTGCACGGTCTTCAGATGTCGCAACTTCGCAACGCCCTCACTGCCAGAGGAGATGTCACAGGGAAATGAAACTTGCAGGATCTAGTATCCATTATGAGTCCCACAACTTGTATATCTCGGATTTTTCCTAAAGGTCATATGAGGTCAGGTCATTTTCGTGACCTCACCATTATAAGTCAATGGGGAAAAATGAAAACTGCTATTCTGGCGCCGGGAACGATCTCCAACTATCTCAAGCACACAGAATCGTGATTTTATGCACTCCTTGCAAGGTTAGATGCGTCACTTTTGCAATGTTGACCTTGCGTGACGTCATTCATGACGTCATCAAGGTCATATTAGTTTTTCGTCATTAACTCTTGATCAAATTGAGCTAGCGAGACGAAAAAGCCACCAATGGACTCAGGAAGACCTGCCGAATCGAATGACATGCGACATGACCCCTTTCGACCAACTTCGTGACCTGGGGGTGCTGACCTGACCTTGACCTGAGGTCAACACCCCAAGTTGACCTGACCCGGACAAAAAGTATACCATTCGACGCGCCTGAGCGAGACGAACACGATGCTGCCAAAATCGGCGCTCTGCGGCCGTTTTTTGCGAAGTTATTCACCAAAAACTGAACCGTACCTTGGGGCACTTGACCTGACCTCAGAGGTCACCGGTTGACCTAGGACCTTAAAAACGGGTACCAATCTCTGCGTCTCGTAACGGCGCACACGCTCGTTTTTTCCGCGACGCGCTAGCTCCACCAGGGGCGAAACGGCGAGGGGGGGGTCGTACCCGCCCCCCCCCTCGGCCGGCGCGTATGTAGAAAACCAATAGGTCCGGCGAGGGTTAAGACGTGTGCAAAACGAGTGCGAACTTGCACTGCAGCGGGGAGGTGGCTGAAGGCGCCAGCTTGGCGGCCTACGTGCCTTAAAACGACGTGTCTTTAATTTATATCTCGGTCTCGGTGGCGGCCGCGGCGCTGCTGCGGCTCGGCAGCGTCGGCAGCACGCGTACCGACCGCCGGCCGCGTCTGCTCGCGGCCCCGCCCTGCACAATGCCTCACAACTCATCCTGAGTCTGGACGGGGTGACGGCGGTGCGGCGGCGGGACGGCTGCAGCGAGCGGCGGCGGCGC